GAATTCGGGTCTTCAGACCTGGTTTTATTAAAGCCTCCTCAGCATTTTCTCTTTGGAGATCTGTCTGTCTCATTAAATAATAAGCCACATGGGCTGGGAGCACTGACCCGCCTCACCTCAGCAACGTCTATTTCCCTTCATCTTTTAGAGAGAAATAATAATTTATTCTCCAGTAGCAGTCGCTGGGAGCAGACCACCTGACAGATAGATGTGATTAAAAATGAATTAAATTAACATCACCTTTCAGCAGACAATAGGGAAAAGCTTCCAAATACTGTGGACATATGCATGTGTGCTCGTGTGTGTACATGTATGTATATGCACCCCTGTGTATTGTCCATGTGTATGTGCATGCATGCACAGGTTCATGTGTGCATACATGTGTATGTGAGCATGTATGTGTGTGCATATTATGTGTGTGCACGTGCCGGTGTGTGCACATGCCCACAGGCACATTCTGTTGACCTGGGAAAGACCTCCAGGAAGGAAGGGATGGGGACGGGAAGCCAGGCGCTCCACCCTCTATGCAGTTGGGTGTGAATCGGGCTCTTAAACATTGTAGCGTGTTGAACGCCCTGGAGGGGCCCGTTTCTCAAAGAAGCTCTTCGGAGGGTATATTTGCAGACTCCTTTATAATGTGAATAATCATCCCCTGATCCCTATTTGGGAAACTAATCTTCTGGTTTCTCAAAGTGTGGCACAGAGTTTGGGAAACAGGGTCAGTGGCCCATGCCCGTTTCAGTACTTGGAGACATACCTGAGGGGATTGGTTAAGTCAATTATGGTCCTTCTACGCAACGACGTAATATTCAATCATTAAAAACGAGGTGACTATCAGTCTAGAAATAGGTTCCCGAAAATACTGTGAAGCAGCAAGAACAACAACAAAAAAATCCCAAGTTACAAAACAATACATATAGCGTGATCCCACTTTAGCAAAACGTTTCGTGTCTCAGGTGTAGAAACTGTGGAAGATGACAAAGCGCCGAGGTGTCAACCAGTGTCGACCGTGGTCGTTTCTGATGGTGGATGGCGAGTGTGCTTTCTTCCTTCATTCCCCTTGTTTGTGTTTTCCACAGTGAACATCTGTTGCTTATGTAACAATGAAAAGGTACAAGAGTTCATTTTAACTTACAAAGAACAAAATGGACCGCCCTGAAGGTTTTGAGCCCTCCTAGCAGGGGGAGGAGGATGAAAGGGTTACCGAGGAGAAGATGAGGAAGACAGACCCAAGGCCACCATCCTCGGCCCCAGCTCTGTGGTTCTCCAGAGGTGCTGGTGGCTCTCGGGCTGCAGCAGCGAAGTCACCCTGACGTCTGGGGGCTCACACCCTCACATCTGTGGGAGAACCAAATTCCTCACCTCTTTCGTTTGGCTCCTGCCTCACACTATTCCTCTCGACATACTCATTTCCTGGACACTGAAGGAGCCCCCGGGGCTGATGCAGCAGGGCTGGGCGGGGGTCCGAGGCCAGCCAGGGCAGGAGGTAGAGCACTGGCTGTTTTTAATCAATCATCAACCCCTGCCAGATGGCGGCCCCAGGTGGCTCTGTTCTGGAAGTCAAGGCAGACAAGGCACTCGGCCTCTGCTCTTGCCCACACGTATTCAGGAGCACACCTGCCCCGGTGAGGTCATTCACACCTCCACCCATCCGGCCCCAATAGGTAGACCAAATGGACAGGAATGCTGGTCATGGAAAGAACCACCTTTGCTCCGGCAGTAACTGAAACTATGACGCCATCCGTCAAAGGTCCTGAGCGGGACTCAGGAGAGCTGCCCTGTCTCTTGGCTGTGGGTCTTGCTGCAGGTCACAGGCCTTTCATAGCCCGGTCTCCTTCTTGGTCAAAAAAGGATGGAGTCAGACACGATGATCCCCGGGTTCCTCCCAGCTCGGACATTCTAGGACATTCTATGGGTGCAACATGGTGCGACATAGTGTGACCTTCTGCTTTGACAGCAACTGGACCACAACAGCACCCTCCCCCTGCTGCTCTTACATTTCAGGATTAGGAGGGGATTTTGGAGACAGGAAATCCTCACCAGCTTGGACCCCTCCCACCGCCGAATGCCACAGCTCGACTCCATGAAAGGCGTCTACTGTGGACTCCAAACCAAGGACACGGGCAGTGTCCAATGACAATGCCCTCATTCAGCTCCTGGGCCCTGAGGCTCCCACTGAGGAGGCCCCACTCTCTATCCCACACAAGCCCCCACCCGGGGAGGCCAGTCTGGGGCCGACGCTCCCCCAGCCAGACACGTCGCTCCTCCCAGGCAAGTCATGGACAGTCCACTCCCAGGTGGCATACTCTGAGCAACGGGTCAGAAGGCCCAGAAGGTGTGAGTTCAGTCCCAGCCCCTCACACACTCGTCTCTGGGGTTCGCAGTTGCCATGGGGGTGATGGTTCCACGTTGGGTGCAGGGGACGTGACGCCCCGCAGAGTCACAGGCTCTCTCAGCAGGAGGTTCTGGACCTGCCTTTCGGGAGAGGTGAAGTGCCCCTCAACCAGGCTCCTTCTCGCCCTCTGAAGAGCCACAGGAGGGCAGCCAGTGGGCGGCCACTGATGCCCTTTGTAGGGCGTGGTGGATCCCAGGGCCCAGGAACCACGCAAGAAGGCCTGGCCGAGCCCTGTTGTGACATCTATCACTGGCGTGAAGGGACAGTGGGTGACGGTTTGCTCCTGTCTGTCACTCATTTTTTTCTTTTCCACCCACCCCCAAAATAGCGACAGATAAGAAACTGTAAAAATGTCCACAAAACGACCAGAAAAGCCAGAGAATTGCAGAGCTGACATGACAGGGCTCGCTCTAGGTTACAGAAAGACGTGCTTTCCTGGGACCCCCACCTCCGAAGGGAAGGCAGAGGTCCGCCCCCTGTCTGCCCGCTCTGGACAGAATGCAACCCGAGCGGGCGTGGTGGCTGCACTGCCAGCATGCCCCCGACCGGGGTAGAGCAGAGGGAGGAAGCGCTCGGAAAGCCCACCCGGCCAGCTCTGTCCCCCTCTTCCCAGCCTGTCATCCTCCCAGTCAGCCCCCGTGGGCCGTGGAGGCAACTCCCAGCTACACAAACTCCTGGAAGGGCAGGCGGCCTCCGCTGGGCCAGTTTTCAGACCTAATTCCGCTGAGTGAAACTTAAAAAGGCCCTTCCACTGGCTCAGCCTGAATTCCCTCTGTGCCCTAGGCAAGCAGCCACCTTCCAAGGAGGACAGAGCCACCGGCCAGCAGTGAGCCCCGCTGACCACCGGGCGGCCTGCTGTGGACTCCAGCATCTGGCCACACAGCAGCGGGGTTGGCCGCCTGATAGAGCACAGGGAGGGGTCTCGTTGCACAGAAGCAGCAACACCCTCGGTCTGGCTTCATTTCCAACAGGTGAAACCCAGAAGGAATCGAACTCACAGGGCCTGAAGCTCTGCAGAGAACTTTTTGACGCTGGGCCTGCAGGCAGCAGGCTGCTGTGGCCACACACCCAGTGTGAGCCCCAACTCTGCCACTGGGGAGCTCCCTGCCCCCCACTCCCCACTCGAAGGACAGAGTCTAGGATTTCCCCACACAGCACCATGGGAGGATAAACAAGACAGACCAAAGGCACTCTGCAGCCTTTGTTGATAACCCACCAGGCCGGGGCGGATCGCCCGTCTGTGCAGAACGCAGCTGACATTCTTGAAATTCCGCTGTGAGCAGACCCTGGGCACGCCTGTCCTGGGAGAGCCTCCCCGTCTCCTCCCACTCTGTTCCCTGGGCATCCACTCTCTTCACACAGCTGTTTCTAACTCGGGCTGAACTATGCTCGTCGCAGAGCCCAAGAGATGGGGGAAGGGTGGGGGGCTCTTACTCAATGACACCCGCCCCACCCCAGGGCCACTATCCCCATTCTCTTCCACTCTGACAAGTAGGCACAGAAGGTCAGGGGCAAAACTGATGGAGAAAAGGTGCAGGTGGGAGGGGAGGCAGGAAAGCCAAGGATGCTCCCGGCTCCCTCTGTTGCCCAGATGCACGAAGCCCGCACCTGAGCCCCCTCCCCTGCCCAGCCTGGACGGCAGCCTCTCCCTCCAGCTCCCCCTCCATCCCAGCTCTGTGGAAACCTGGGAGCTTCTCCACCCTGGTCCTCTAGACCTGCCAGCCAGGCACTGGACCTCTGGGCGGAGGAGAATCTGGGGTGGAGGGAACTCTTGCCCCGTCTGGAAGCGATCAGCCACCACTCTTAGAGAGTCTGGGAGAGTTTGGCCCCAGGCTCTGGAGGGAGTTTTCTCTCATATTTATTAACCCACTTTCCCTCTTGGCATTCAGAGCAATGAGGAAACCTCAGCCAAGGTTATTAATAGGCCGAGGCCATCCCCGGGGAGGAGAATGAGCTCATACCTACAGCACAGGTGCCAAGCATAATCAGGATTTCAGAGCTGCCTAAATATAGGCTGTGGCCACATCAGGGAGCTGAGCATGGTCTGTCCCAGTGCCACCCAACCCCATTCCTTGGGCCCAGCTTTCTGTCACCCATACCAGAGCCGGGCCCTGCTGGGAAAGGACCTGGCTGTCACTGGGTAGTGCTTCCACCCTAGGTCAGACCTGGTGGGAGACGCCGAGGAAATGGGGGAGGGATTCGCAAAATGACATGCAGTATAAATGACTCCTGTAAACAGAGAGTTTAATGAAAAGGCAGTGAGGGAATTTATGGGCAACCCAAGGATAATTAAAATTATTTATCTACTTACCTCCCTTGCTGCCCGATCAGTCTATTAATTATCTATTATACACCCGCTGATTTGCATTTTAGTGAAAGGACTGGGTAAGGGCAGGTGAGAAACACAGAGGGGTCTGGGAGGCGGGGGGCGGGGGGAAGCAGGTGTGTACCCTCCTCTACAGACCGCAGCTCCCTCCCTGACACCCTCCAGGCCACATTGCCCCCCAAGACTGTGGGCCGCCTCCAGGCCCCTGGCCTGAGAATCCCCAGATCTGAGAACCAGCGTGGGGTGGAGCAGAAAGTGCGGCGCGAAGCGGGGACGCACCTGTGCGCAGACAGGCAGCTCCTGGGGCAGGATCCCAGCCGAAGGGGCCTGCAGACCAGCTCCAGGGAAATGCTGGCAGACTCTTCCTCCAGTGGTTCTGACTTAACGCTGCGTGAAAAAAGCACAAGAGAACAAAACCATTTTCAATCTCTGAATATCTGGCGTGCATCAGACGCACGCTCTCCTGTGCTCTTGATTAAAAATATCACAGGACAGAGTGTCATGGGAACAGCATCCTTTGAGCGCGGCAACGAGAAAACATTAGGCTGGGAGAAGTTACAACAAGGCCGCCCTGCTGACGCCTCATGGTGACAGTGTCGCTCCCAGCCCTGCCGCTTCCCTCCAGCAAGACTCACAGCATCAGAACGGAGGCTGGGACCCGAGGGAAGGGTGCCCATAGGCCATGGGGTCCGACTGGAAAGGACTAGACCTATGGTGGGGCCGCCCGTGTCACCTGTTCCCAACACAGGCCCCAGCTCTCCTCTCAAGTCGACAGAGCCTCGCTGGGGATAAGCCATCAGCATCCCCCTTACCAGGCCGGGTTCCCCAGCACTGAGCTAGATTCCAGGGGTGTGGGGCTGACCAGGACCCGCGGCGGGCGCAGACCGTGCCATTCATCCAGACATTGAAACTCGCTCATCACACTGTCGGGCTTGCCCCAGCCAGCCGCAGGAGCCGGTTCTTTAAAACAAATCTCTTTTCTTTTCTTTCCCTTTTATTTATCTTTTTATTTTTTTATTGAGGTAACACAGGTTTATAACATTATATAAATTTCAGGTGTACATCATTGTATTTCGAATTCTGTGTAGATTACATCATGTTCACCACCCAAAGATGAGTTACCATCCGTCACCGTACGCGTGTGCCCTGCCAGCCCTTTCTTTTCTTTATCATTTATCTATCATCTATCTATCTATCTATCTGTCTGTCTATCTGTCTATCTGTCTGTCTATCTATAACCTATTGGTTCTGTTTCCCTGGAGAACCCTGACTGATTCAAGGCCTCTGGGGTTTCTCCTTGCACTCCTAGAGACTGACCCTGTCCATTAGCAGAACCAGAAATGCCACAGTCCCCCACCTGCAGGCGCTGCCCAGCACACAGCACCCGTCCCGGGGAGGAGCTGTGCCCTGCAGTGGCATCGAAGCGGGAGAGGGAAGGAGGCAGCGAGGCCAGGTCTGCTTGTGAACGGGGGATGCACGGTAAGGAACCCAGGAACGCACCGGCCCTCTGAGTCTCTGTGAAGTGACGGCCCAGCCCCAGCCCCAGCTTCCCCTCGGGCCTCAAAACGCTTCCCGCTGTCAGAGCCACGCTCCCTGGCATTTGCTGGACAGTTGCCTCCCCTCCCCTTCTCTGTGCGCCTGCCCAGCGGCCCTCTCCTCCCCGTCCTGACCGTGGCTTCTCAGCTCTGATGATGTATCAATAACTGCAGAGCCAAATGCCACAGTTAGCAGCGCCACTGTACTGTAACTAATCGTTCTCAGAATCGATTCGCAGGGTGGCGTGTGTGCAGGCAGGTGGGGCCGCGTCCCCGAAGCTGCTACAGCCCCCCAGGAATTAGGCACACCAGGAGGAGTCCCAAGAGACAACGAAGAAGAGTGGGAAAGAAATGCCGGGGGCAGACAGGAAAAGAGCAGATTTTTAAAAAGGGTAATTTTAGAATCCCAATGAAACAGAATAATCAAGATCAAGCCGCACTCAGAGTCGGGGCAAAGACACAAAGGGATGACGGCCCAGGACTTCTGATGGGGGTGGGGTGTGGAGGGCAGGAGGGGGATCACCAAACGCTCCTCAAGGGCAGGGGCAGACAGCGGGCTGACTCTCAGGTGACAGGACCCTTCCTGGGTTGGGGACCCGGCTCCCTATCCCACATGGCACACAGGGCTCAGGCCAGGGAACCCTCGGCTCCTCCGAACACATGAAGACCTCAGGGGTCTCTGGGCCTCGTGAACTTAAGATTGTACTGGTTTAATAAACCACGTGGCTGCCGCTGCTGGGTCTTCCTTGGGCCCTGAGCATTCTCGAGGATGGGTGCGTGTGCTCTGTTGCTGCTCCTGCCTCCCAGCGAGGGGAGAGCCCGCAGGAGGGAAGGACAGGGAGCTTAGGATAATAAAGATTCTTGGGACCTTCTTCCTTGCTGTCACTCGTTAACCCTTACAGTGATCCTAGAGGGAAACTGAGGCACAGAGCCCTTGGGAGCACAAACCGCACATTGGCACATCTGAGCCCAGGGAATCTGGCTCCAGAGCTGGGCTTGTGATGACCACACTGTCCTTGCTCTTGGACGGTCGACCACTGGGTGACTCGGTCTCCCCATCTGCACTGGGAACTCCTCAATAGCCGCCCCCTTTTGCATGGCCCTGGGAAACCTTCAGCTGCCCCGCTGGGGCAGGATCATGGAAAGGGGCGGGTCAGGCAGGGCCAGGGGAGGCTGGGCCCCACCCCAGAGGCTAGTTTAGCAAAGTGCCAAAGAGGGGACAGGGGCCCCTGTGCTCTCCCCCAGCACAAGTCCCAGGACAGCGCCAGAGTAAGCCCAGCGCCTGGCTTCCATGCATCCCTCATTCGCCCATTCATTTAGCCATCGCATCCTACTTACCTCCCCTCCCCCCAGCCTCTAGCAGACCCCCAGGCCTGGCCATCTGCGGGTGGGAGGGGCAGAGAGCCCTTGCCTGTACGTAAGGGGGCCTGACAATGCAAATGGAAAGGTCCAGTGACACTCTCAGGGCAGAGTGGGCGGTCTGCTGTCTGCACCACTTGCCCAGAGCCTTTGTTTCCCGCAGGAAATCTCTGGGGGCCCCTGTGGCTGCAGCATCTCCCCCAGGGAAGGGGGTGCTGGAGCCTGGGTCTTGACCCCGCTAGATGCTCCTAGACCAGGGGACTCCCCTGACCATTCTCCCTTCAGGAGCTACCCTGTGGCCAAATGCAAATACTTCCAGTCTCTGAAGGGAAGCAGCTGTTTATCTGCACTTGCATTTCCAGTTGCTCACCCGAACTGCCGCAAGGATCTGCGGTCCTGCCAGGCCACACCTGGGAGCTCTGCAGCCAGACAGTCTTAGGGGGCTGTGAGGGGTCACACCCCAGACTCAGCTGCTCAGCATTTCAGCCACGAGATCACGAGTCACACTACTCATAAAGTGGGGTACAGGCAATGGAGGTCTAACATGAAAGCCCAAATGTTGGTCAATGTTTTTCTTTCTTTCTTTCTTTCTTTTTTTTTTACAAGTAGAAAGGTTTCAGGTTTTGCCCTAAATATTTCCAAGGGACAGACTGCTTTCCTGAATGTGAGAGTAGATGGTGGATTAACCAACAGTTCCCCAGGAGTCTGCAGAACCCCAAACCTGCCGATTAACAGAAGAAAGATTACAGGAACCGGGGGCATTCAAACTAAAGCCAGCTGCCATCTGACAGCTTCGTGTAGACAAAGGTGGACAAGATTGGCAATCTCAGGGTGAGTGAGGATGGTGGGAGCACAGACAAGTCCAGACGCTTTGGACAGCCATAGGCAGGATCTGGAACATTCTGAGATCCAGCCACCTGCAGCCGGTACACATCTCTAGCGCACAAGGAGACAGGCATGAAGACCCACACTGCGGCATTCTCTGCAGTAGCAACAACTGAATGTTCATTAAGGAAAAGAGCAGATAAAGACAAGATGGTGGGTTCCTAAGATTTCTACGCAGCAGATAAAAGGGATGGATAGAAGCACGCACGTCCGCACAGAGGACTTGCGAAAACACGATGCTGAGGGAACAAAGCAACTTGCAGAAAAACGTCCTGTAGGTACATTTTAAACAGACATAAAACAGTGATCTATTTATTGTTTATGGCTACATGTACGCAAGTGTGGTTTCAAGGGATGAAAATCATGGCCATCAAACCGATGCTGAGAGCTGCCCCTGGTTGTGTGCATGTCCCAGGGGCTGAGGCTGAGGGGCTCAGAGGGGACTTGGCCTCTGTCTGCAACGCTCCATTGCTCTTTTTAAAAGATAATGCAATAGAACTAAATGTTAGCCGTTGTTAATTGGAGGTGGAAGAACATAGATATTTATTATATTTTGCCTTAATTATCAAAATTACCACCAAATATCTTGATACTTGCACAGATTGTAAGTCCCTTGAAGAGCCAGAGACCCCGATGACACCCCTGTGGCTACACAGCTGGTAGTGTAGTGTTTTACACGCTCAGTGAGTCCATAGAATCTTGTTGGTCAGTGGCCTGGATGGCTGAAAAGATGAGTGACACATGCAGCCGTGTGACTCTGAAAGGACCCAGACCTTCCCTCCCCACTCTCCCTCCATTTAAAGACAGTAAACTGGTCCAGAATTGTTTCTTCAACTGCCCGCTGAGGTTTTCTTTAGAAACAACCAGCCGGAGCAGACGGGAAGCAGAAGCTATTGCCCTCCAAATGAGGCCCCGGGCCTGGGGATGGACTCATGTCCTCAACCGTTCTAGACTCTAGACCATCAATGTTTCCAGTAACTCAGGGGCTCTCCCGTTCCTCTCCCTGAGAAACGCCAGTACGAGGCACAGCGCCCTGGGGACCCAGGCAACGGCCCTCTGAGCGAAGGTTCCCTGCAGAGAAGGACGCCAGGAAGCTCTGGACACTGACACGGCTTCTCCCTCTCCTGGCAAGCAAACATCTTCAAGCAGACGAAGCATCGAGTGTAGGAGTGAACGTGTAAACAGCCCACCTCCCCATGCCCCCGGAGAGAGGACCCACCGGGGTGGGGAGAGGATCGAGCTCCCAGAGGGCTCTGCAGGGCCCATCACTCTGTCACAGAGGCTGACTCTTATGTCCTTTCCGGCAGGTCCGTGAGTGTGCTGGAGACAGGGTGCTCTGCGGCCAGAAATTTGTTCAAGACCATTTTCCCTGAGAGCTGCCGTCTGCTGTCTACTGGACTGCACTTTCACACTTCCCCGGGGCCTCCGTGGCTGGTACACCTTCTTGAGTGTGCCACAGCTGGGCAGAGTGTGCCACAGCTCGAGTGTGCCGCGGCCAGGCAGATGCGCGCCAGACTCTGGCTCTGATCTCACACAGTCACACTTGCAGTGTTACAAACTAATAAAAGCCGCATGATCAAATTCCAGGTCATTACTCAAGGAAAGGGA